GGCACACTGCTGGCTCATGTTTAACTTGTTGTCCACCAGCACTCCCAGGTCCTTCTCGGCAGAGCTACTTTCCAGCAGGTCAACCCCCAGCCTGTACTGGTGCATGGGATTATTCCTGCCTAGGTGCAGGACCTTGCACTTGCCTTTGTTGAACTTCAGGAGGTTCCTCTCCGCCCAGCTCTCCAGCCTGTCCAGGTCCCTCTGAATGGCAGCACAGTCTTCTGGTGTGTTAGCCTCTCCCCCCAGTTTAGTATCATCAGCAAACTTGCTGAGGGTGCACTCTGTCCCTTCCTCCAGGTCATTGATCATCAGGTCATTTTGTCATCTAAATCTTCAGATTCCTGGTATTTGCAGAGCTCACAGCTAAGAAAATTCATCACTTTCATGATAAACCTAACCACTTGTTGAAGAGCGCATAAAAACACTCAACAATATAACTTTGTCAAACTTGCTGCACTTCCACAGCTCTCCCATTATAGCCCTAAGAAGTGTTCACACAGAGATAGTCTTGAAGTTGCACCGAGAACTTACCTGATGAGCGCACTCCTTTTCAGGAGATCATCTCCCCCAAAAGCAGTCTTCCTGTCTTGATGATTATAAACAGTGTTGGCTCTTTAAGCATTCTCATCTCCCCATTTTTTTTTTCCTCATTTCAGCTGACTGCTCTGTACCTACCCACAATAATCTTCTCACGCATCTGCTTTGCTGGTGCTGGTCAATCAATATGGTCTCCAAGAATTTTCCTCTTGGTAGATTAAGTTATTTTTCATCTCTAATAAAGATGTCAGTAACGGTTTTATGCTATTAACGTCAGCATTTTTCACTCACCTATAGCCCAAGAGCCAAAATAAATACAATGCTGTGCGATCAAGCAGCAGTTCAGAATTTCAGCTGGAAGACTAGAATATCTTTGTGTTAATGGAAGAAAACATAGTACTATTTCGATTGAGACAGAGCAGATTATGCAAACATTAGAAAAAACCTCTCCAGTACAACGTTGTCAGTGTAGCTCTTTCCTGATAATCAAACCTAATGCAATATTCCCTTGACCAGCATCTCTTCCCCAGAAACAGTCTCAAACCCATCTTTTTTTGTCATGACATGCACAAACTGAGAAATACGGCTAACTCCACAATGACTGAGTCAAGATGCTGTTCCAAACTCTCGGCAAAGCTTGACAGGCTGAGCCTCCTGCACTTAAGTGGAGGTATTTTAAATATGTGCTGTTTCATTCCATTATTTTCTTCTCAAATGACTGTCTTAAGAGATCCAGTGTGGGCAAGTCAGAATACTGCTCTACAAATACAGTGGTCACCCTGACACATTTCTGCTCATGTGTACTGGTAGGTTCCTCAGCCCTTTTGCCCTGAACTACTGAATTACAGCACCCCAATTTTTACTAACCAAGCATGACAGCACGTCAAGGTTTCCAGCATATCACTTTCAGACAAAACCAAGTGAGAGATTAGTTCTACAGGTAACTTTTAATGCAAGCCTTGAAAATTTGAGAAGATTCTGATATCTTTCCCTCCCAGTACATCTCTGATTGTATTTATTACATATATTTTATCTTTCTCTATACAGTCATAACATTAGTTATTGCTAGCTACCCTTCTCACTCTTCTTAAGCAAACAGTTTGTGCTGTTAAAACCATGACACTTCACATCAGTCTGGCTTCCCATCTATGCAAAATTACACAATATTAAGCCTAAATACATCGGCTTTAATCTTCCGACAAGTCAAGGATTTTCTTCTCATTTATTAAAATTATATCTGTGTTTGGCAGAACACACCAAAAGTGCAGATCCTGGGGACTAATACAGATGAAGCTCAAGTTAGCTGACAGAAGACAATTTTCTTCAGTTCTTTGTTCAGTTCTTACTCATCCCAGGTATCTCCATACTTATTTACTTTAACTAGAGAAAAGGAAAAAAAAACAGCAGTTGCACATGAAATAATTCAAAGGCATAAAACTATGATGAAATGCATCATCACGGCAAGTGGCAGGCGGGGATCGTGTCAGTCACAGCACAATACCCACCCCCCATTAAAGCTGTTTTTGAATAAACGGGGAACGGAATGAGCTTGTTAGTCATTACTCTTTATTGAATTAGTATTCAGTCAAGAGGCCTGCTGTGCTAATTCCTGCCCTACAGAATTTGTAATTACTTTGAAATAAACGCAACATGTGGATGAAACAAAGACAATTGGAGGAAACGGGCAAGGAATGTTGTGATAAATACGTGGCTACATAATCCAGTTACGTGCACAAGTGGATGGATGCAGGATAGTTAAAGACACAGTCAAACACCAAAAAAAAAAAAAAAATCAGTAATCCCTACTAGGAAACTTCTCAGCCGTTATTATTTGGCAGCTTCCCTTTGTATGGCAGTGAGTCAGAGAGGGGGAAAAAAAAAAAAAAAAACCCAGGGTATCGCTCTTATGGATTTACTCAGAAGCCTGTCACATGTAATCGAACAATGACCAGAAAGTGAAAAGATGCTTGCTTGAAATTGAAATTTGACTGGAAAGTAGACCAGAAGTGACTGTCAACCCTGACAGAGTAGAGGATGGATCTATACGACATAGTAGAAATGCTTACGCTCGTCAGCAGCTTGAATTACTGCAGCTTAAATTATTAAGAAACCCAACTCTTTATTACTATCTACCTACAGCAGAGCCAGGGGAATGGAACAGAATATATGGCTCTTGCTTCAGTGCAACGTCAACAAACAGCTCAACGTCCTGAAGAATCTCATTGTGCCTCGCTGCAACATCAACCAAGCTTAAAACAGAAACTCTCTCAAAGTATGACCTGGCTTCCATTTCTGGCAACAGTGGCAGCTTAGCAGAGCTGTACTACCTGCAGTCATTCCCTGAAAAATGGTTATTTGGGGGGAAATCCAGTCCACTGTGCAGATGCACAAACTTGTCCTGTCACAAGGGAGGGAAGCAGGCAGGAGCAGCTACAAGTCAGGGACTGCTTAAAACTGGCTTTCACAATAAGATTGGGTTAATTCCCCCTTGCGTCCCTGCAACGGACGACAGAAACCACTGTCTCCTGTTTGCTAGGCGTGTTACTACGATAGAGAGATGAAGGGGGAACAAAGAGGTAAGGATTCATTATGCGTGCACAGGTATATGCAAGGTATCATGTCCACTCTGACCCAGGAAGCTAAATCCAAACTTAGCGAGCAGCATCAGTAGAATCTCTTAACTGCCAGTTTACATATAATTCCACTTCGAATGCATTTCTGAATTTTTTTATTCCATTGTTCTCCTTCTCCTAAAAGTACAACCAACTACTCGTAACAATGTATTTTACAAAACTCAATGCGCTATTCAATGTGCTTCTACTTTCAAAATCTGACTAGAACCATCAAACAGCACACACAAACATAATACCGAGAACGTAACATTTCATTGAAGTGTTTTATAATAAAAAGGTTAAATAACTACAAATAAAATAACGAATGCTTGCGCTCATCTCATAGCTGCAAGATTTGCCGTGGAACTTGGCAAGGATTGCAGAATGCCGCCTCAGAGTAAGATTTCTGCGTTTGGTTTTCAAGTGACATCTCTAGGCTTTCTATTTGTGAGGAAACACCTTCACAAAGAGAAAGCACTGTGCAAATCAGTGAAGTGGCAGCTGATTGAATCCAGAAGCTGTAGTTTCAGGTTGTTTCAACAATTTCCCAATGTCTCATTTACTATACTGACATGGTAGAAAAGAAAGTCTCCTGTCCTTGAAATAACAGATGTCAATCATTACCCAATAATTGTTCATAGTTTTTATTTCTAGACCACGTAGATGAGTCCAAAGACAGATGATCTAGAAGAAGTATTTCACAGGGGTGGAATAGATTTGCATTTGTAAGCAACACTGTTCTAAAGTTTACCATTACTGCTTCAGGCCTTTTTGGTTTCATATAATTGCTTATATTAACACGCCTAATAGAAAACCCTCATCTATTCCTAGCAATCTCGTTGCACTGTGAGCGAGTAGATCGGACACTACACACAAACCCCAGTGATTCAACTGACTAGTCCAGCAGTGCGTCAAACGGTAACACAGTCATCTTACCAGTAAGTTTTTCACAGATGTCACGCTAAATAAAACGGTTCTCGAGAAAATAATTATGAACTGCTACTAGGACTTCTTTTCAAGCGCTCTTTCAAAGAGGTGACTGAACGGCACCTTATTCTTCAGAGCATTGCATTCTTATTTTGTGACGCAAAGGTCTGTTTTTCCACTGTGGAAACAAATCTCAACGTTGCTGCCAATACTGTTTCCTTCCTTTAAGTTTTAATGTAGAATAATGAACCTCTGCAAACAATGCCACTATAGAAATCCCTTAATTCCACATGAAACAATTCTTAAAAATAAATAACCCCCCCCCTTTCAAAACCATCAACTAGGTATTCTACTTTGAGAGAACAATGCTATCTACAATGCACACCCCCTTCCATAGCTAAAACGCTTCAGGAGAGCTCTGGGAGTTCTTTGCTCAAAGAGGTTGCTCCGTATACTCACAAATTAAAAATTAGGAGATTTTGTACGGCCGTAGAAGAGGAATTGTAATTTACTACCAGAAGATCAATGTTTCTGAGAAGAAGAACTACTCTCAAATATGAAACTACAGACCACATCACACACCAGCTACTTGCTGATGCCAGAACTATGAACTGGCTAAAGGGTAAGCAAGACCAAGCCTAAGAGTTATAAACTATTTTTAGCATTACTGCTAACATTTGAGTTTCCTACGTACTGCAGGTAAATCAGCACGTTACCTTCTTTAACTGGCTTTTCCTGTGAAAACTTGGTTTCTGCCTTTGCTGGTAACATCACCTCATACGTCTCTCTGTGTTTATTTCTTAATTCCTCATACGAGATGCCTTTTTTTTTACGACCTTCTTCTGGAACTGGAGCAGGATCTGAAAACAAAAAATATGCTCAGATTCTACAAGGGCATCACACAACAAAACCTGATTATAACATCAGGTTGCCATACCTTTTTTAGAATGCCAGTTAATTACAGCTCAATGCCAAAAAAAAGGGGGGCATGACAGACACATTCTCCATTGCCGTTTAGGAGCGTATGTGGCTTTCAACTCATGCATCCCCTTTCATCAAGGGGTGAAAATGCCTATTTTAAAGGGACTTTTTCGTCTAAGAGAAAAGGCAAGAATTACTATGCCACAAACTGCTAAATATTAAGACAAACCACACCTTGCACAGTGTAATCAGTAATTCCTGTAGGTGAAGACTCATTCAGGGAAGCACTGAATGGAACAGGTTCATAACTAGAGAGAGCTCTATCTGTTGAACTGTAATCATCTGAATAATTAGAAGAAAGTGGAGACCCAGGCCTTTGAGAAGAAGGTTCAGTAAATGACTGAGAAGGCATGTCTGAAAATTCAGACTTCCGACTGGAACGGCTGGAAAAAAACAAAAATACAATTAAATATTAAATCAAGAAACACTAAAGTTAAAACATGGAACCGTAACAATAGTATTGTGTCCAGTTCAAGAACATATTCTTTTAAGGGGTCAGGGTTTAATTCAATTAGTTTCCAACAACATGAATTATTATCTTAAAAAAACAGCTGTGGGTTTGTTTGGGTTTTTTTGTTTTGTTGTTTTTTTTACGTTGCAGAGATTTGTAGAGTACCTTCCCCAACACCCTTTCTCCCAGAAAGTTAACTCATACCTGAAAACCTCCAGAGCAAAAGACAAACTATTTTGCATGTTACAAGACAAAAACGACAATCCCTTCTCCCAGGGATTCTTCCGATAGACCAAACACATCAGACAAATAGTACCGGATGCGTCCGTATAAGTAGTGGTAGCACAAAAACTTATTTTTGAAGGTCTTTTTGGGAAGAAGTCCCAAGAGACTTGGGACTTTGGGGGGGGGGGGGGGGGGGCCGGTCTGGGGAAGAAGCTGTAATTTATAACCCTTCATTAGAAGTTGCTGTGACTGTCAATACCAAAACGGGGGCGGCGGGGAGAGAGCGAGCGCGCAAGCACGCATGCGCAAAGACCTATTACTAAGGAAAGGAAACTGTGAAAGTTCATCGAGTTGTTGAATTACTTTTTCCATCAGAAACATTAATGAGTTTTCTCTTAAGAGACAAAGATAAGATCATACAAAGAATACTACGGAAACAGATGCCTGACCCTCTAAAGCAGTCACTACATACTCAGAACGGCCCTGCAAACCACTACATTAAAAAAACAAAAACAAAAAAACACGCCCGTCTCTTAATCAGCCTCAAGAACGCTATCCACTTGGTGCCTTTGGAACAGCTCTAGCATCTTCATTCATTTTTTACTTTAAATTGCTCCTTTTTAGTAGGTGTACAATATATTATCAGGAAAATGTAATGACTTCTCTTGCTGGCTTAAAAGGGTAGCATATATGGACAACTACTTCAGAGTCATTCAAATGGCGTTATCAGCTGACCAGAACAAAAAGGAATTTGTCACTTAGAACACAAAATATATTTTGCAGGTACAAAAGAATAGGCCATTAAAACTTGGAGGCACTTAATGCTGCAGCAGATGATTGCATTTAAACGGGTCAGCACCTAAAGTCAACATACGTAACGAGCACAACAAGTTCTTATTAAAAACTAGGCGGAAGGGAGAAAGGGACACGTCCACCTCCAAATCCACTGAGTTTATACACTAATAACTATAAAGTAGTAGTTATTAAAATTATGTTTGGTGCTACACAAATTCAAACATTCCAGTATAAAGGTGAACCTGCATACACAACTCTCCCAAGTCCCAGGTTACAAAGTAATTAAGAATGCAATCAAGTCCTCCATAAATATGCAATAAATCGTAGCACACATACAGCAGGACTCCTACTCAGTACCCAACGACTAGTCTCCCAGTTGTGAATCGAGGGTTTAAGTCAGAGATATTCCAAAGTAATTTGTTATTAAAAACCCCTCCCAAGTAGAAAACATTCTGGAGCACAACCGGAAAGAGTTTTAAGAACCTGATGAGTCTCTCATATGTACAGCACGATGCCATTACAGACGTAAAGGATTTAAACAAACAGCAGTAAGCTTGACCACCATGCTTCTTCCTGCACTGATACTGTTTACTGATCTCTTTCCTCTTGCGAGTAAATTCCACAGGAAGCTAACATCTTAATTTACATGTGATACATTTTGATGAGCAAAACGCTTCTTGTTCAGTAAACAGTTGTATATACAGATCTCAAAATCTCTCTTTGGCCAACTGGCCATCTGATAAAGACGAGATAGCTTCCTGAAAGCGGTACATCTACGGGGGGTAGGGGAAAGAGGGAAGGTGCAGCTCTCAGGATTGCTGGAAGCTGCAAACGTAGCCTTGATCTCTGTTAGCACCTTGGAAACGTCTTATTCTAGCAGTTATTTTAATTGTAAAAGAGAATTAAATGCTTACTTATGCGAACTATGTCTCTGAGCTTGTCGTAGAACATCTCCTATTGGGGAATCCTTCAGTTTCTTAAATTTCTCGCTGCAGATTGGCAAGTAGGATATCTTTCCAGCCAGGTAGCCACACGTTCCAGCAACTGGTTTAAAAGAAAAAAGATGCTTTTATATGCTGCATCATAGCATTCGACATGATTCTAAAATCATCATTTTAAATAAATTATATATTATCGTGAACAAAAGGGAAAAAAAATCAGTCTATTTCTAAACCCCAAAAACGCAGCCGTCTTCTCTCTGCTGCTTTTGCTCACAAAGGGTGCTAAGAACAAAGGCAACAGTTGAAGGGACACGCTGCAGTGATTTAGACACGACACGAGCATCAGGTGATACCAACTATTATTACTCGATGAGCCAAAGGTGACAAAAAACCCCAACCAATCTCCCCCAAGATCCAGAAACAATGAACAATTTCCTATCAGAGGAGATAAAAGGGCTGGAAATAAACAAAGGCTGGAAATTCCAAAATTTTAATTCATCACAACAGTCAGAGTCTGAAAAGGCTTTCACTAGTGGGAAGAAAAGCCTACAGTATTATAAGACTAGGTTCAGTCTCTTCTGAGGACGTGCTTCATATGACATGGTGGTCTGTTCAACTGAACTGGTAGAACCGCTGCAGTCTTAAACGCTTTCAATTTAGTGGATGAGACTTTCCGGTCTCATCCACAGGCAGGACATTAAACCAAATGAGTTCTTTCGCGACTTAAAGCTGATGATGTCCGTCACTTGGCTCCTTCATTTTTCAGTGGGTCTGAGTAGGAAGGAGCATGAAGGAGTCCATGGCAACCAACAGAAGTTTTGCTGCTGACTTCAGTCAGCAAAGAGTTAGTTGCCGCTAACATTAATTCTCCGAGATCTTCACACTGTAGATTGCATCGTGGACTGCTACTGTACCGATGAGACTGATATTGGAAGAGTGATTCCTGTTCTACTATCTATAGAAGATGGTACATGGTAGATCCATTCAAAAGGATGTTAACAATCCTTTTCCAACAGAGAGGAAAAGGACAGCAACAAGTTTACAAGTGATAAATGTAAGGGTTTAGCTGTTCGGCAGATCAAAAAACTGAGATACCTCAAACTGGATAAATATCTGCCGAGGGAAAAACTACGCAGCCCTGAAAGGCTAAAGAGCAAAAAAGCCCAACAAGAATTCAAACGAGATTTGGCAAAAAAGTTAAGCAGCAGAGGTCGTTAACCACTGGTATAGATTACAAAGAGAAGGCCTCCTTTTCTCTTGAGATCCTCCAATCAAGACACGTGGAAGCATCCCTCTGGAAGATGTTTGAAGATGTTCCAGCCAAAGTAATTATCGGACAACTTCTTTGGATTCCCTTATTACAGAAGCAACAGCCAGATAATACAGATTTTCCAGGTTAGCACGGCAAATGAGATAGCATTGCTTTCAGCTTCGTCTGCAGTTACCGTGGTAAGACTTTAGAGAAAGTAACTGAGAGATGGACAAAGGAGGTCACATCCCGCTACAGGCTAACATCAAGTAGGACATACAGATCCTATCCCTCTTTGGAAAGGAAAATGGAGAACCAACAGCTCAACTGCTATGCTGAAAGGGACGGCATCAAAATAGTAAATCATTCACAGACTAACTAGAGCTTCCATCAGTACCTCGGAGACGACTGAGAAGAAGTTGTTAATAATTCCTACAGGCGCAAGAACACTCTGGAACCTGAGAACTACCCACCTCCCCACTTCTTCCAGACAAAACCAAGAGGGGAAAAGTAGGGAAAGATGCAAGATAGAAAAAAAAAGGGGGGAAAAAAAAACCCTGAATCAACTATGTTTGTTAGATTTAAAAGATCCATCACTATGATCAGGCATGGATACCATTCAGAATAAGTGCATCTGCCAACACCGAGACACACACACCCCATTATCAAAGGCAGACTATTGTAATCAGTGGACACAGCAGAAACATGCTCAGATCAGTGCTACCAGAAAAGCAAGAACTGTCTTAGAAATGAGACCTCTACTCTTGGTTCTGCTCCAAGCATGAGCTACAGCAGCAGGGCCTGGAAGCGAATACGCTCTCCTTTCAGAACTTG